TACGCGAGGAGATTGATATCCGAAGTATAAATAGTGATACAGGGGAAACTCCACAAAGCCGGTACTCTGTGGTACAGGGTTCCCCCCCCCCCCCCATCGCGGCGCGACTGGCCGTGCACGGCCCGCTGTACATGCATGTGCGGTGGGCTCTTTTCACGCGTCGTCTTGGTTGGTAGATAGGTGGCTTGTTACTGCTGTAGCCCGTGTTTGGTGGTGCAGTGGGGGTCCCTCAGTAGTTTCAAGTGAATCGTGTCAAGCCTCCGGTGTAATGCCGGTAAGGTGCCGGTATGCTTGCCGGGCACATGCTGGCACGCAGGAGGGACCTGCGCTGCATGGCATCTCGGTGTCCCTGATGTTTGTTCGGCCGTTTCGTGCAAGAGCGAGCCGCGTGCGTGCGGTACAAGCAACACGGAACGTGTTGTTGACGTTTTTCGCGGCTGCTGCCGCTACTGCGCTGCTGATGGTGGTGGTGATTTGAGGCGGGTTGGGTGGCCACATGCTTTCGTCAAAGACACTGGCTTTTCGAGGCCGACATCAAAACACGCTTCAACACTTCAATATTGCTACTCACGCACACAACACACCCCATCCCTGGTAACACAGATACCCCCCCCCCCCTTCCCTCAACGGAATGGTGATTATGTACCAAACAAATATCATGATCATAATCAAACAGGTCGGTACCGCGGAGGCGGTGGCGGTGGCGGTTACAGCGGCCCAAGTTCCGCCGTCTGTCGAGGCGACCATGGTCGGCGGTGGCGGAGGCATCTCGTCCGAGCAACAGCAGCAGCCTGTCGGCGTCGAAGCGGGAGCGGTACGGGTCAGCATTTCTCAGCTCCTCGACGCCAAGCGCGCGCAGCTTCAGAGCATCTTGGACGCGCCGCACATCCAAGCCTAAGTTCTTGCATGTGACTACGTGTGTTTTGCTATTTTTTTTTTTAGGGGGGACGGGGGATCGGAGTTGAGGCGGAGATAGAGGTTTAAGGATGAAGGGGAGAGAGGAGGGGTGACTGCGAAACAGCTGCACAAACGAAATAGGGCAGACTATACCAACCTTTGCTCAGCACGCCCTTGAATGAATCCTTTTGTTGCAAGCGAAGCTGGCCGGGCGGTCATTTACGAAGAATTTATGGGTTAAATGGGATGCATTCGTGACCCGGGGGGGCGATGACGGAGGCGGGCGGGCAGGTCGACGGACCGTGAAGATTTATTTCCCGCGTTTTTCCTTTCTTTCTTTTTTTTAGCGTGGTGAGTGGGTTATCAATGCGTTGTTGGTGTTGCCCTCTCGCGTCCGTGTGGCTTTTTTTTTCCCCTGTCTGCGTGTTGCCGATTTCGATGTTTATTCGGTGAGCCCTTCCTCGTCGCGGCAAAACAAGGGAGAGAGAGAGAGAGAGAGAGAGAGAGAGAGAGAGAGAGAGAGAGAGAGAGAGAGAGAGGGCGTTGGCACGACGCTTCTTGATTTTTTAGTGTTTGTTGTGCTTGTTTGGGTGGCGGCGGGAGGGGAAAGGACAGCGAACTCGGGGGAGGACGGACTCCAGTGTGCGTTGGCACCATCGGCGAGAGTTCCAGAGCGGTTTTGGCTTGGCCTGTGGCGCACACGGCGGCCGGAGGTGACGTGGGTGAAGACTACTTGCTGCTGTAACGGACGTTCTCGCCTCTTGCCTCATTTTCATGACGGACGCGGCCTTTCAACAATTTTTGCACGGCGCAGGCACATGAGCTCCCCCCCCCCCCCGACCCTCTCGCGGGCGACGGGGTTGCTTTTTTTCGTTTCCGTTTTTTTCATGTCTTGCTACCCGGTAAACTGCCGGCGGTGTGGTGGCGCCCTTTGATTTTATTTTGCGGCTGAAGTGCTCCCCCCCGGGTGAGTGCAATTTGTCGTGCCGGGCAGCAGTGCAGGAGTTTCCTGTTGTAAGAGGGGGTTATGTATGTGATGAGACTGGATGGGGGACGGAGATTATTGGACTTGGATGAAACAAGAAGACACTCCGAGATGAGCGAGAAGAGGGTT